CTCCCGCATCAGCTCATGCAGCTTTGCCTGTGCAAGGACCAGGTCCTCTTCCTGGGACACCGCCTCCTGACGGGCTCGTGGAATGGGTCCAGGGTTTAGGGTTTAGGGTTTGGGGGTTAGGGTTTAGGGTTTACGGTTTGGGGTTTAGGATTTAGGCTACCCTTTTTGGGGGCCTGGAGAGGGCAATGTAGAGGGCAACTACTTCCCTCATTCCAACCAAGACTCGGCTTGCAGGCGGACCCACTTCTGCAGGCCCTCCACAAAGGTCTCCACATTCCGGAGCTCCGTCTTGGGATCCTGGAACACGAAGCCCGCGCTACCTTGGGCCTCGGTTTAGGGTTTAGGGTTTAGGGTTTAGGGTTTAGGGTTTAGGGTTCAGGGTTCAGGGTTCAGGGTTTAGGGTTTAGGGTTTAGGGTTTAGGGTTTAGGGTTTAGGGTTTAGGGTTTAGGGTTTAGGGTTTAGGGTTTAGGGTTTAGGGTCTAGAGGGTCATTGTTCTAGCATTCATTCCAGGCTTAGGGAAAAAACCCACCCGCCCAAAGAACCCCATAACATTAAGAAAATAAACGGTTTTCATTTTACTCCAGATCCCCCAATGTTCGGGCGATTCCGGCCAAACCCCCCCAATGTTGGGGCGATTTCGGCCAGGCCGAAAAGTCACGAACATTGGGGCCCCCCATGTTCAGGCGATTTCGGCCAATCTGACCCCAATGTTCGGGCGATTTCGGCCGGGCCGAAAAGTCACGAACATTGGGGCCCCCAATGTTCGGGCGATTTCGGCCAGGCCGAAAAGCCACGAACACTGGGGCCCCCAATGTTCGGGCGATTCCGGCCAATCTGACCCCCAATGTTCCTGGCTTTTCGGCCTGGCCGAAATCGCCCCAACATTGGGGGGGGTTTGGCCGGAATCGCCCGAACATTGGGGAGGGTTTGGCCGAAATCGCCCGAACATTGGGGGGGTTTTGGCCGAAATCGCCCGAACACTGGGGGCCCCAATGTTCGTGGCTTTTCGGCCTGGCCGAAATCGCCCCAAGGCCGGAATCGCCCGAACATTGGGGGGGTTTGGCCGAAATCGCCCGAACATTGGGGGGGTTTTGGCCGAAATCGCCCGAACACTGGGGGCCCCAATGTTCGTGGCTTTTCGGCCTGGCCGAAATCGCCCCAACATTGGGGGGGGTTTGGCCGGAATCGCCCGAACATTGGGGGGGGTTTGGCCGAAATCGCCCGAACATTGGGGGGCAGTTTGGCCGAAATCGGCCGAAGGTTTAAATATATATATGATAGAGAGGGTTTAGGGTTCAGGGCGTGGCCTCTTCGACTTCAGGATCAACGGCTTGCAGAAGGGCGCTGCTCTCTTCGCCATCGGGGACTGGCAGTTCGCTTTCCGGCAAGTCCAACAGCGGCTGCCCCTCGATCGCCATCCCAAAAGCCCCAACCAAAAGTTGGGGGGGGGGGGGGGGGGCTTGCTAGGTAGACTTCGGACTACCCTAAACCCTAAACCCTAAACCCTAAACCCTGAACCCTAAACCCTAAACCCTAAACCCTAAACCCTAAACCCTGAACCCTAAACCCTAAACCCTAGGGGTTGCATGTGTTCGTGTAGATGAGGGCTTAGGGCATGATAAACCTGAACACTGGAGCCCAGCCGCGGAAGAAGCCTTGAACCTACACTGTTTAGGGTTTAGGGTTTAGGGTTTAGGGTTTCGGGTTGAGGGCTTAGGGTTAGGGTTTAGGGTCTGAGGCTTCAAACACATACGCCTTTTTCACAACCTTAAACCCAAAACCCCCAAAGTCCCGAACTCCCCAGCTCGAGGAGGGCCGTGATTCGCACATTCGGGTTTGGGATGTGGGGGGGTTTGAATCAGGACTTTCACTTTGGGATTCTGGGACCTTCAGGAATTTCCACCAAATTGCGCAGCGGGCGTGTAGGCGTGTAGGCCCCCTGGTCACCCCCGCTGAGGACCCTCCAAGGGAAGGAGAAACCCCTGGCAGTCGCTGGGCAAACATCCAGGCGGCTTCAAGGCATCTGAAAATGTAAGCTCCTGGCATGATACGCCCCATCCCAAGAAGCTCCGAGGTCCGCGGTCTTAGGTTTAGGGTTTAGGGTTTAGGGTTTCGGGTTTGGGGTTTGGGGTTTAGGGTTTAGGATTTGGAGGGTTTAGCGTTTAGGTCTGTCTTGAGAAGCGCGTCAACTCCTCTGCTCTTCCAATGGCCCCAGACCGACTCTTCGCTGGGGGCACTCTTTCTGGGACACCCTTTCCCCCTGACTCCCCTTTTCTGGGGACCCTCTGAAACCACCCTAAACCTCCTGAAGCCCTACCTCGCACACATGATGCTGCACCAGGCGACATATGACTTTGGCTTTCCGTCGCCCGCGATTCGCACACTACACCCAGCATTGGGCCGGCCCACGTGCCTAGCCGGCGCACACGCGTTTGCCATCGTAGGACGTACTCTGGAGCTTTAAAGGCTTTGGGGTTGAAGGTTTAAGGTGTACGGCTTAGGGTTTAGGTTTTAGGGCTTACGGCAGGTGGGAACCTGCCTGTTGACAGGCTTGTCTACAACCTCACTCCCTCACTTCATAAGCACTGAAGCAACTTTATGCTAGAGCTAGTTGCATCCTCGTCTGTAGGGTTTGGGGTCCAGGGGGCTTAGGGCTCTAGGGTCTCGGGGTTGAGGGGCTCCTTAGCTTCAGCTCAGCATTCAGGTAAGAGATCGATCGAACAAAACCTCAAAAACAGAACTCCACTGCACCCTTATTGGTAAAGGACTTCTTTCCGTAGACCATGTTGCTGGAGGATCCCTTATCATTCAATCCCTGATGCCCCTAAACCTAAACCTTCCACCGTTACGATGAATGCTCGATGTATTAGTGAGGGTTTTGGACGTCTCTGGGCGGCCCTAAACCCTAAACCCTAAACCCTAAACCCTAAACCCTAAACCCTAAACCCTAAACCCTAAACCCTGGCATTTTGAAGGCTTCCATGTCTGAAGCTGCGCGTGCTGCGAGGAAAACAAACGCTACCTCAGATGTCGAAGCATCGCGCGACCTGGCAGGGCTTAGGGCTTAGGGTTTAGGGCTTAGGGTTTAGGGCTTAGGGTTTAGGGTTTAGGGTTTAGGGTTGAGGGTTTGGGGTTTAGGGTTTAGGGTTTAGGGTTTAGGGTTGGTAACCAAGGTTCCCTAATGCTCCCCACTACTCCCTAAGGCTCCCTCAGCTTCCCTAAGGTTCCCTAGGTACCTACCCCGCCATGATACCCCCCTTCACTTAAGGACCCTATGAGTTTAGGGTTTAGGGTTGAGGGTTTAGGGTTTAGGGTTTAGGGTTTAGGGTTTAGGGTTTAGGGTTTAGGGTTTAGGGTTTAGGGTTTAGGGTTGAGGGCTGCTCCTTACCAGGGTTTTCAACTTCGAGAAGCCATTCGGGATGTCAAGAGTACGTGATCGATGCAACAGACTAAGTGCGTTGTCATGGGAAAGCCCGGACAACCCCCCCCCCCCCGGCACAAAAGAAAAAAAACACACGCGTGATTTGAGGTCTTCTCCCCAGAGAGCCCGGTCCCCTTAATAAAGGAATATGCCTTAATTCATGTGGGGATCCTTGCTATGGTTTAAGGTGTATTCCTCAATTGAGGGGTATTGGGCTCTTTTCGATCCTATCAGCCGAAAACCCCGATGATCCTCTTTGCTCCGACGCGCACATGCCGCAAGGGCCATCGTTGCGATAGCGACCTGCCTTCGGTACAGCGACGGGCGGTTTGAGAAAGCAGCCAGCAACAAGCTTGGTAGCGGGGTGGGGAGGGGGGGGAGGGGGGCGAATCATCTAGGTCATACGGTTGATGGAGGAAATCTTGCACCACCTATTGAATAACAAGTGACACGACACATGAGCATGACCCCGCACCCCCTTTTTAATATTGACGACGATGGACACCGAGGTGGTGCAAGATTTTTGTCATTGGAACCCGCGGCACTTCCGAGGAAGAACAATCAATATTAAAAAGGGGGCGTGGGGTCTCTACTTTGTTTGGCCGTATAAAGCGGTGCAAGATTTCCTCCATCAACAGTACCTTACAACGTCGTCGCAGCAAGCAAGATGTATGATGAGTATACAGTGTTAACTGCATAATGTACATTTCCACAGTTAACGCTCAGTTAACACTCAGTTAACACTACAGTTAACACTACAGTTAACACTACCGAAATGCTGCAAAAACCAGCATTTTGCTGGATATACACATTTAAAAGAAGCAAATTAGTAATTTTACTGTCTTTAATACAAATGTGAGGAAAATGCTGGTTTTTGCAGTATTTCGGTAGTGTTAACTGTAGTGTTAACTGTAGTGTTAACTGAGCGTTAACTGAGTGTTAACTGTACAAAAGGTGCAGTGCAGGATCACCAATGGCACCCCTGACGAGGGGCTCTGGCTATTTGGTGATGTCTAGTAAATACACTGGCTGCTTCTGTCATTTAAGCAAAACGATCCTGTCGGTTGATGGAGGAAATCTTGCACCACCTATTGAATAACAAGTGACACGACACATGAGCATGACCCCGCACCCCCTTTTTAATATTGACGACGATGGACACCGAGGTGGTGCAAGATTTTTGTCATTGGAACCCGCGGCACTTCCGAGGAAGAACAATCAATATTAAAAAGGGGGCGCGGGGTCTCTACTTTGTTTGGCCGTATAAAGCGGTGCAAGATTTCCTCCATCAACAGTACCTTACAACGTCGTCGCAGCAAGCAAGATGTATGATGAGTATACAGTGTTAACTGCATATGTACATTTCCACAGTTAACACTCAGTTAACACTCAGTTAACACTACAGTTAACACTACAGTTAACACTACCGAAATGCTGCAAAAACCAGCATTTTGCTGGATATACACATTTAAAAGAAGCAAATTAGTAATTTTACTGTCTTTAATACAAATGTGAGGAAAATGCTGGTTTTTGCAGTATTTCGGTAGTGTTAACTGTAGTGTTAACTGTAGTGTTAACTGAGCGTTAACTGAGTGTTAACTGTACAAAAGGTGCAGTGCAGGATCACCAATGGCACCCCTGACGAGGGGCTCTGGCTATTTGGTGATGTCTAGTAAATACACTGGCTGCTTCTGTCATTTAAGCAAAACGATCCTGTCGGTTGATGGAGGAAATCTTGCACCACCTATTGAATAACAAGTGACACGACACATGAGCATGACCCCGCACCCCCTTTTTAATATTGACGACGATGGACACCGAGGTGGTGCAAGATTTTTGTCATTGGAACCCGCGGCACTTCCGAGGAAGAACAATCAATATTAAAAAGGGGGCGTGGGGTCTCTACTTTGTTTGGCCGTATAAAGCGGTGCAAGATTTCCTCCATCAACAGTACCTTACAACGTCGTCGCAGCAAGCAAGATGTATGATGAGTATACAGTGTTAACTGCATAATGTACATTTCCACAGTTAACGCTCAGTTAACACTCAGTTAACACTACAGTTAACACTACAGTTAACACTACCGAAATGCTGCAAAAACCAGCATTTTGCTGGATATACACATTTAAAAGAAGCAAATTAGTAATTTTACTGTCTTTAATACAAATGTGAGGAAAATGCTGGTTTTTGCAGTATTTCGGTAGTGTTAACTGTAGTGTTAACTGTAGTGTTAACTGAGCGTTAACTGAGTGTTAACTGTACAAAAGGTGCAGTGCAGGATCACCAATGGCACCCCTGACGAGGGGCTCTGGCTATTTGGTGATGTCTAGTAAATACACTGGCTGCTTCTGTCATTTAAGCAAAACGATCCTGTCGGTTGATGGAGGAAATCTTGCACCACCTATTGAATAACAAGTGACACGACACATGAGCATGACCCCGCACCCCCTTTTTAATATTGACGACGATGGACACCGAGGTGGTGCAAGATTTTTGTCATTGGAACCCGCGGCACTTCCGAGGAAGAACAATCAATATTAAAAAGGGGGCGCGGGGTCTCTACTTTGTTTGGCCGTATAAAGCGGTGCAAGATTTCCTCCATCAACAGTAGCCATGAATAGAAGGACATGAACAAAGGGCCTTTTGAATGCATGTGCGCAAAAGCCTGCGGATGTCAAGATGAAAAGGGGGGATGAAAATGAGCAGCCGCAGATTGGGTTGTTTATATTATGATACGTCTAAAGGGCTATGCACTTGGGATGTACCCCGCTCATACGAACAATTCTTAAGAAGGATTCTCGTACCCCCCCCCTTATGATAATCCCATACTGAGGACCGTTCGTATGAGGGGGACACATCCCAACCATGAAACCGAAACAAACCCTAAACCCTAAACCCTAAACCCTAAACCCTAAACCCTAAACCCTAAACCCTAAACCCTGCACTCTAAACCCTACACCCTAAAGCCCAGAACCCTAAACCTACAGAGCATTGGTTCCTAAAGCCTCTCTGTGGCAAAGGTTCCTGGGGGAGGAGAATAGGACTAAGGGTTTAGGGTTTCACTAGGGTTTGGGGTTTAGGGTTAAACCCTAAACCCTAAACCCTAAACCCCTAAAGGGGTCAGGGTTCCTGGTAGGGGCCTGCAATCTACGAGCCTTCCAAACCCGCCGCGCAACCGCTACTGCGCGAATGTTAACCGACTCATGGTCCAGAAGTTAAAAAAGTAACCTTAAGAACCCAGGCTTCCTAAGAGTCCTATAAGGGGATTTATAGTAGCAACCTACAAAAAAGTAGGTTTTGGGTTCTTAAGGTACAAGTGCTGAATCACAAAACACACACACACATTCAAAAGTGACAATCCGCTTTTGGAAGTGAGAAACCGTACCGGAAATCAACTGTTCAAAGCGTAGGTGTTTCTCAATGGGTGTCCTTTTCTAGCAACGTACTGTTAGTTTGTGGAAGTACCCATGTCACAACTGAATGAGTGCAAATATACAGAAACGGAAAAGAACCTGAAAACACGAAAAGCACCTTCTTTAAACATGCAATGTTGCAAGGAAATAATGTATCTGAACAAAGAAGCCCCGCCCAGCGTCAAGCCAGGAGCGAAACTTGTAAAAAAAAAAAACACGCACGCACGCTCGCTGCCACGCACAGATGCACGCACGGACCATCTGAAGAACTATCTCTCCATGATATCGGAACATTGCTGAGATTTCATTTCCGTAGCTCCAACCCTATATTCACAGTTCTGGAGTGCAAAGCCGCCTTCGCAACCAGCACTGTCACTGCAGCTCCTACGAACTGATGCACTCCGACTCCAACAAAGGATTGGTTACGTATTCTTCATAGTTCGTAGTCGGGAACTGGAGAATCAAGCACCTTGTATCCCCAGATATATGCCGCAAGGGACGAGGTAGCCAATCACCCACATTCCCTAGAACCACCCTAAACCCCAAACCCTAAACCCCAAACCCTAAACCCTAAACCCTAAACCCTAAACCCTTCAGTAGGATTCGCATCAGCTCATGGTGAAAATGGAGAGGCTGTGAGGCGCTTACGCCACAGCCACCCCCGGGGGTTGCAACCCCAACTCCGCCATCTGCGAAGGGTTTAGGGTTTAGGGTTTAGGGTTTAGGGTTTAGGGTTTAGCGTTTAGGGTTGAAGGGTTCTAGGGCTCTAGGGCTCTAGGGCTCTAGGGCTCTAGGGCTCTAGGGCTCTAGGGCTCTAGGGCTTTGGGGTTTCAGGCTTTATGGTTTCAGGCTTTCAGGGTTTGAGGCATAGGGCGCAGATGTTGGGCTCCCCATGTTACGGGACCCATGCAAATGCATGCAGATCAAGGCCTCCAAGCCTCCCCCCCCCCCTTTTCAAGACTGTTCTTAAACCCACCCTTTCACAGCGACTCTGAGCCCCCCCAAAAGCCCTAAAACCCTTGAAGCCCTAGAACCCTAAAACCCTACAACCCTCAAATCCGAAATCCCTACAACCCTAAAACCCTAAAACTCTAAAAACCCTAAAACCCTAAAACCCTGAAAACCCGAAAAGCCCTAAAACCCCCCTATATACCCTTTTCATCGATCATCCGATGTGCAGCAGAGGGAGGGGACAGCAACCTTTGTTACCCAGATCAGGAGCCTGCACTGCAATTTTTTGCATCGCAACAGCACCCGAAGCGGTGGAGGAGTGAAACAACCAGGGGGCTCAAAACCCTTGATCCATGAAGTACCCTAAACCCTAGACCCTAAACCCCAAACCCTAAACCCCAAACCCTAAACTTCAAACCCTATGATGGCTCAGGGAGAAGCATCTTGCAGTAAACTCCCAAAAGTTGGAACATCATTATCCTCACACCCCAAGAGGGCTCCTAAATAGAATCATCGTCCTTAAGCCATGTTCCAACTTCAGGGAGTCTACTGAAAAGGGTTTCAAGCCCCTCGGACAAGCCCAGCCAACGAGTCCGACACCCATGAGCAAGGGGGCCAATGTGAGGTAACCCTAAACCCTAAACCCCAAACCCTGAACCCTAAACCCTAATAAACTGGGTTTTGGGGTTGAGGTTCCAGGGTTGAGGGTTTAGGCCCCAAAATGCAGATTTGCAGCAGCACACGGCCCCTTTGCGTAGCACAGGAAGACGATGCAAGCTTTGCCTTTGTGTTCTTAAAAAAAGAGAGCGCTTCAAACATTTCTGCGCCATCGAAGATTAAAAGCCATCGCTGCCAAATCCTGGCAGCCGTGGGTTAAACCCCCAACCTGAACCCTAAACCCCAAACCTCAAACCCTAAACCCTAAACAAACAACCCTAAACCCTAAACCCTAAACCTTAAAGTCCAAACCTCACGCGACAGCTTCCTTCAAGGCCGCGAGGATGTAGCTCGGTGCTGAGGTCTCCTGTCTGGGTGCAAACTCTTGGCATCCCATGTGGACCCTTCATTTGGGGTCCTCGTATACCGATTTTTCTATATCCGCGGTTGCGGGTCTAGGGTTTTTTGGTTTTAGGGTCTGGGGCTTACGGTTCAGGATTCACGGTTTAGGGTGTTATAACAGAACTCTAAATACATATATATATATATATATGTACCTATATATATATATACGTGTGTATGTACGATCCGTATTCGCGACGGCTCTGCTTTTCTCTTCGAAACATTTTCAAAACCCTTTACATCGTCAAATCTTTAAGATCTGAACGCCTTTGAAATCTGGAAAGTCTGCACAATCCTCAAAACCTTTGACATACCTTAGATTCTGTAGCAGCCATAAAACTGTGACAACCTGTAACACCTTTAAAGCCTTTAAAAGTCTTCTCAAAGTCGTTAAAACCTTAAAATGCGAATTACAAGTCAACCCTTCGAAACTTTGAGGGCTCTTTAAGGCTGAGATGATCGAAACCTAAAGTGTCAGGAAGCCCCGAAGAGGCGAGGTGCCGTTTATGGACATAGTCCTCATATTTTCTATTATCTCATCTTATCTTTATACTATCTTCTACTAAATTATATTATATAAGAGGGGTCTTGTAAACCGTTAAGGATTGTTTTTTTGGGGGCTTCAACAGAATTCAAGGCCTCTTGAGTTGCTTTTGACGAGCCTCTGCACATTGGAACATCCTTCAAGATTTTAGAGGCCTTTAACGCCATTTAACGCCTTTAAGATTTGAAAAGGACACTCTGTTAAAGATGCAAGAATTTCGGTCAACTTAAGCCTGTTTGAAACAGTATTTAAATCTGGAACAGTTTAAAAAAAAAGACTTGCCCTTGAGGGGCCAGGCGCCGTTCAACACGTTGGTGGCTTCAAAGACATTCAGAAGGCTTTGCAACGTGCTTTCAAACCCTGAAGAATTTAGAAAAGGAAGGCCCTTTCAAATCTAAAGGTTTGAGAGGCTTCTCCAAATTTCGCAAAAGTCGGGCCTTCAACCGGCAATACTTAAATTCCAGAAGGAATGCCAAAAAAAAAAAAAGCGTTACGGGCTTTAAGGGCTTTAAGGGCTTAGGGAGTTTAAAGCCTTTTGAAATCTTTCACACAAACTCAAATGGCCCTCAAGATGCCAGGTGCCTTTTGAAAAATTCTGGAAGGTTTGATAAGGGTTTAGGGTCTGAGGTTTAGGGTTTAGGGTTTAGGGTTTAGGGTTTAGGGTTTAGGGTTTAGGGTTTAGGGTTTAGGGTTTAGGGTTTAGGGTTGAGGTTTTTTTTATCGGGCAAGGTCATTTCTTTTATTGGGCAAGGTCATTGTTTACTGGGCGGGGTCATCTTTTTACTGGGCAAGGTCATTTTTTGCTGGGCAAGGTCGTTTGTTGGACTGAACGACCTTGCTCAATAAAAAAAATGACCATGCCCAGTAACTCCATTAACATTTAAATTATATATGAAAGAGAGGTTTAGGGTTTAGGGTTAAGGGTTTAGGGGGTAGGGTCTTGCCATTTAACACTTTTAAAGGCGTCGCCAATGTCGAGAAGCCCTTTCCCCTGGATGATTCGGTTTCCTTTAAAACCGTGCAGGTGTCGTGAGGGCTCAAAAATCAAAAAGCCTCTTGACGATCTGAAAACCCTTGGGATTATGAAAGGCCAAAATTGAAGTATTTTGGTGAATGGTCAGATTCTTTGGACAATTTGTATAAATGCTTGAAAAACCTCACAACTTTTCTAAAGGCCTATCTTTCAAACTTGTCATGGCTTACAAGACTTCACGGGGCTTTTTTCACGGGGAGCATACGTGTTCTCTCCATCTGTGTATCTTCTACCCAGCGAAGATGTCCCCCCGAGGGGAGTAGCTCTCTCTCTCTCTCTCTCTCTCTCTGTCGCTCTCTCCCTCTGCCCCAAACCCAAGCCCTAATAGTCCCTATGTTAAAGCCTAAACCCTAAACCCCAAACCCTAAACCCTAAACCCTATACCCTACACCCTAAACCCTAAACCCTTCCTGTCCTTGGCGAGGTCCGCCGCGCTGCGTCCCCGAGAGTTGCGGAGGTCGGTCCGCGCGCCCGCGGCCAGCAGTGCCTCGGTGGCCTCAGAGGAGCTTTGGGGGTTTAGGGTTTAGGGTTTCGGGTCTAGGGTTTAGGGTTTAGGGTTTAGGGTTTAGGGTTTGAGGTTTGGGGCTCAGGGTAGTTGATGTGTTAGAGGTCTTAGAGGTTTGCCGGCCTCAGATGAACTTCCGGGGTTGTTTAGCGAGTTTTGGTGGAGGAGGATCTATGCCGATGCGGGGATATTTAGGAGAAGCTTGTTGAGTTTAGGGTTTAGGAGTTTAGGGGTTTAGGGGTTTAGGGGTTTCGGGGTTTAGGGGTTTGGGAGTTTGGGGGTTTAGGGGTTTAGGGGTTTAGGGGTTTAGGGGTTTAGGGGTTTAGGGGTTTAGGGGTTTAGGGGTTTAGGGGTTTAGGGGTTTAGGGGTTTAGGGGTTAGGGGGTTTAGGGGTTTAGGGGTTTAGGGGTTTAGGGGTTTAGGGGTTTAGGGGTTTAGGGGGTTTAGGGGTTAGGGGTTTAGGTTTAGGGGTTGGGTTTAGTTTGGGGGTTTAGGGGTTTAGGGGTTTAGGGGTTTAGGGGTTTAGGGGTTTGGGAGTTTGGGGGTTTAGGGGTTTAGGGGTTTAGGGGTTTAGGGGTTTAGTGGTTTAGGGGTTTAGGGTGGCTGGCCTCGAATGCGCAGGTGATAACACTGCACATCAGCGGCGTGGCATTGCAGTGGTAGTACCTTGGTTGCTGAGTTCACAACCCGCCCCCCCTCCCCAAAAAAAAAAGAAAAGTGTACACCCTCAACCCTCAACCCTCAGCCCTAAACCCTAGCCCTAAACCCTAAACCCTAAACCCTAAAGTGTACTCATGCAGCTACTGAGGTACGCATAGGTGCTAAGGGTGGACTCCGAGAATCGGTGGCGCACACCCAAGACGGCGAAAAGCATGCCGCGGGCCTTGGTAGGGTTTAGGGTTTAGGGTTTAGGGTTTAGGGTTTAGGGTTTAGGGTTTAGGGTTTAGGGTTTAGGGTTTAGGGTTTAGGGTTTAGGGTTTAGGGTTTAAGGTTTAGGGCTAAGGGCTAAGGGCTAAGGGCTCAGGGCTTAGGGCTTAGGGCTTAGGGCTTAGGGCTTAGGGCTTAGGGCTTAGGGCTTGAGGAGGGTAGCCCAGTGACCATATTAGTAATAATGAATGCACCCTGTTGAGAAGGGAACCTTGCCAAAAATCGGGCAAAAGGGTGCCGCTGGGCTAGCAAAGGGCAGTGAAGAGCGGCGTCGCGGGCCGGGCGTCCACGTTCGCGCCTGCTTCGATCAGCGCCGAGATCATCCCCGCGGACGGCAATCCATGAAGGATCGACGCGTGAAGTGCAACGTCCAGCTCTTGCCTTACTGCGGGTTCGTAGGCAATGAGGGAATGAAGTACCCTATATCCCCCTATATATATATATACACCCTCAAGGGATTATACAGGGCACCTCATTCATTCCCTACTAACCAACAGTAAGTTGCTTGGGCGTGTGTGGTAGCAGCTCCCACATGGAGGCCACCGAGGGGGCCATGCAAGCCATGGTCAGCGGAAGATATCCGAGGACGTTTGCGAATGTGGCACAGCCTACACTGAACTTGGAACCCTAGCAAAATTAATAATGAACAAAATAATAAGAATAATAACAATAATAATCGTAAATTAATATAATTTCTGCTGCTTCTTAGGAAGTATCGTGCCCGAAAATGAAAAATTATTCCCAAGTATCCCTAAGCAGCTTGCATCTGCCGCACAGAGGACCTGAATGCCCTCAACGTTGCTGCCCAAGGCGGCCCAGTGCAGCGGGGTCGCATCGTAGTTATCCTTCGCCTGCACATCAGCACCTCTTTCCAGCAGCAAGCGAATTCCTTCGTTGTTACCCAGGAAGGCGGAGATGTGCAGCGCCCGGGTTCCGGGTGTGAAGTGGAAGATCGGCTCAAACTTCTCAATGCCCTCGTTGGGATCTGCGCCTTGCTCAAGCAAACTGACGATCAGCATGGGGTTCCCGCTCAGGGCGGCATAGCTCAACCTTGGGGGGGCACCATGGGGATGTCTGACAATATTCTAGATATTCTAGGGTTTAGGGTTTAGGGTTTAGGGTTTAGGGTTCTAGGGGGGGTCCCTTTAAGGGGGTTCCATTCTATTTGTGGTACAAAAAACGGGGTGCCCTATTTTGGGAAACACCCACATGGAACCCCCCTTGCCTCTTTTCAGAGCCCCCGTAGCCTGAACCCTGAACCCTGAACCCTGAATCCAAACCCCAAACCCTGAACCCTGAACCCCGAACCCCAAACCCTGAACCCTGAACCCTAAATCCCTAAACCCTGACCCCTAAGACCTGAACCCTATATCCCTAAACCCTGAACCCTAAACCCCTAAACCCTGAACCCTAAGTCCCTAAACCCTGAACCCTAAGTCCCTAAACCCTGATCCCTAAATCCCTAAACCCTGAACCCTATATCCCTAAACCCTGAACCCTAAATCCCTAAACCCTGAACCCTAAATCCCTAAACCCTGATCCCTAAATCCCTAAACCCTGAACCCTAAATCCCTAAACCCTGAACCCGAAACCCCTAAACCCTGAACCCTAAGTCCCTAAACCTGAACCCCAAATCCCTAAACCCTGAACCCTAAATCCCTAAACCCTGAACCCTAAACTCCTAAACCCTGAACTCTAAATCCCTAAACCCTGAACCCTAAATCCCTAAACCCTGAAATCTGAAATCTAAGTAGGACTTAGGGTTTAGGGTTTAGGGTTCAGGGCTTAGGTTATGGGTTTAGGGTTTAGGTTTTGGGTTTAGGGTTTAGGGCTTAGGGGTCCCCAACGATCGAACAACTGCTCAAGATGTTCTGCTGCCAAGGGGTCGGAGACCAGCCCGCGGCATCCCTGCACTTCGCGGAGCGGAACCCGTTCCTTGGTAGTCCAGGGGTTTAGGGTTTAGGGTTTAGGGTTTAGGGTTTAGGGTTTAGGGTTTAGGGTTAGGGTTTAGGGGTTGGTTACTTGATAAGGGAACCCAGAACCTAAAGGGCACCACTGGGAAACCAAGGTTCTGATGCAGGAAGCGCTCGAGGACGTAGGTTGCGGGATCCTGCCTGTCCTGAGGATAGGCTGAGGGCTTCAGGGTGTTTAGGGCGTTTTGGGCTTCAGGGGTTTCAGGGTTTAGGGTTTAGGGTTTCAGGGGGTGTTGCGTTGTTTTGACTTCCAGGGGTAGGGGGCCCTTGGCTGGTTCAAAAAGCAAAAAAAGCATCATGCCAGAGTCACGTGGGGCTTAGGGTGATAAACATGGTATACATTGGGACGTTCCCCCTTCTACTAACAGTCCTGAATATGGATGATAATAGGGGGTGCCATGGTCCTTATTAAGGACTGTTAGTATAATGGTCCTTATTAAGGACTGTTAGTATAAGGGGGAACATGCATATAGTGAACGCAGAGTGACACTTGCTGACTCGGTGGGGCCCTAATCCAACGGCCCAATGGCTTGGCTCCAAGTGAAATATCTTTGGGATGTCCCCCCGTATACTAACAGCCCTGTATAGGGATTCTAGTACCCCCCCAAATTATAATCCTTTTTAAGGAGCTGTTAGTAGAAAGGGGGAACATCCCATCTCTGAACAAGAATCATGCCTAAGACCTAGAGACCTAAACTCCTACAGCCGTACACCCTAGCCCGAAAGCTTCAAGCGGCAACAACCCCCTTTAGGGCCGTCAATAACGGCACCCTCCCCCCGCCCCCCACCCAAAAAACACGTAAATAACCAACAATAAGAAGAATAATGATAGCAGTACAAATAAACCTTAGTCCCCCCCCCTTCCAACCCAGAGCCCTGAGCCCGACTTCTAAGCCATTGGGCCCTAAAGCCCTAGAACCCCCAGAAGCCATACATGAGCCCTACACTACCCTCAGCCCCCCTCAAGCAGATTTCCAACACCCAAGCCCTGAACCCGAGATCCAACCTCAACCCTCAATCCCGAAACCCTCAGGCCTACACCCCTCAACCCCTAAACCCCCAAACCCCTCAACCTAAGCCCCTAACCCCAAAGCCCCTAAACCCTAAACCCTAAAACCCTAAACCCTAAACCCCTAACCCCTAAAGCCCGTGAGGCCCAAGCAACAGAGTCGAAGCCAGGCACCACATCTTCCACAGGCTGCGTTGGGAGCCTCCCGAGGTGGATCTTGGTTTGGGTCCAGGGTTGCGGGGTGGGGGTTTAGGGTTTAGGGTTTGGGGTTTGCGGTTTAGGGTTTAGGGTTTAGGGTTTAGGGTTTAGGGTTTGGGGGTTTAGGGTTTAGGGTTTAGGGTTTAGGGTTTAGGGTTTAGGGTTTGGGGGTTTAGGGTTTCGGGTTTAGGGTCATCTGTCGTTGGGGACGAGGGCTCAAACCCTGTCAACCCTGCAGGCTTCAGGCGCCTGCGCAGATGGATCTGCTGCATGTTCAGCATGAGGCGGTAGCCATGATAGTCGCCTAGCCAGCTAGGGTTTGAGGTTAGGGTTTCGGGTTTAGGTTTTAGGTTTAGGGTTTAGGTTTTAGGTTTAGGGTTTAGGGTTAAGGGTTAAGGGTTAAGGGTTAAGGGTTTAGGGTTTAGGGTTTTGGGTTCAGGGTTTAGGGTTTAGGGTTTAGGGTTTTAGGGTTTTAGGGTTTAGGGTTGAACGGGCCTGCTTCAACTGGAAGGGGTATTTGGTGTAGTTTATACTGCAGTGAGACGGACCCTCAACCCTGAACAATCAGATCAGTTGAACTCCTCTAGTCGAAGCTATTTGGGGGGGGGGGGGGGGCTTCTCGGGTTGCTTGGGCGCTTCGGGTAGAGGATGTTTTGTCGGTTCAGGGCTCAGGTTTTCTGCTTCTCCCAGAGCTCCGATTCCTTCCCTCCTTGAGGGTGTTGGATTCAGGAGGTGGCAAGGCGCTATGGCATTGATGGTTCAACCAAAGCACACTAGGGCCCTTGTTGGGTTTTGGGGTTTTAGGGTTTAGGGTTTGTGGCGGGTCGCCTGTTGTCCCATACGGGGGCTGAACTGAATTTGGGGCTTAGGGTTTAGGATTTAGGGTCGAGCAAGGCGCCATCACAGCAAACACACACACACACACAGAGACCCACACACACACACACACACACACACACACACACACACACACACACACACACACACACACACACCAAAAGCACAATCACAAACACAAACGCAGACACAGACACAAACACAAACGCAGACACGGACACAAATACAGACACAAATACAGACACAAATACACACACTAATACACACACTAATACACACGCAAACCCAAACCCAAACCCAAACCCAAACACAAATACAAACACACATACAAACACAAACACAAACACAAACACAAACCACAAACACAAACCGAAACCACAAACACAAACACAAACACAAAACACACACACACAAACACACACACACACACACACACACACACACACACACACACACACACACACACACACACACACACACACACACACACACACACACACACACACACACACACACACACACACCACACACACACACACACACACACACACACACACACACACACACACACACACACACACACACACACCACACACACACACACACACACACACACACACACACACACACACACACACACACACACACACACACACACACACACACACACACACACACACACACACACACACACACACACACACACACACACACACACACACACACACACACCAATCACCAAGCCCTAAGATGCTGAATCCTCCTGAGATACACCTACATCCGCAAGACCCCTAGAACCCTAAAGCACAATCTAAGAACCGGCCCATGTACGTCATTCAGATTTTGGGTTCATGGTTCAGGGCTTGGGGGTTAAGCCAAATCTCTTCTTCCCTAAATCCTAAACCCCAGACCCGAAACCCCTAAGCCACCAAGAGACCCTAAACCCTAAACCCTAAACCCTAAACCCTAAACCCACCTTGCTTCAGACATGCTTTCAGCTTGGCGTGCAGCATCTTCTCCAGGACGTCGGCCAGCTTCACGCGGTCCTCAACAGCAGGAACTAGGGGAAGGGGGTCTACGGCTTTAGGCTTGGGGAGGGGTTTAGGGTTTAGGGTTTAGGGTTTAGGGTTTAGGGTTTAGGGTTTAGGGTTTAGGGTTTAGGGTTTAGGGTTTAGGGTTTAGGGTTTAGGGTGTAGGGTTTAGGGTTTAGGGTTCTGGGTTTAGGGTTTAGGGTTTAGGGGTTAGGGGTTAGGGGTTAAGGGTTAGGGGTTAGGGTTCCTAAACCCCCCAAAGCCCCTTCCGAGTCGGCGAGAGCGAGGTCTCCGATCTGCGGGGCTCAGTTCTCTGAGTTTGGACCACTCTCTCGAGGTAGGGTTTAGGGTTCCGGGTTCAGGGTTTAGGGTTCAGGGTTTAGGGTTTAGGGTTTTGGGTTTAGGGTTTAGGGGTTTAGGGTCTAGGGGTTTAGGGTTTAGGGTTGAGGGTTCGTAAGCAACGGAGCCTTGCAAGAGAGGGGAGGGGGAGGGGTTGTTCTAAGGTCCTTGAAAGGGATGAGGGCGGAGGGCTTAGGTCCCTTACAAGAGACGTCCTTACTAGAAAGGGAAGCTGCAGGGTTTAGGGTTTTGAGCTTAGGGTTTAGCGCCAAGCAAGATTCAAGAAGGGTGCCAAGATTCCAGAGCTGCGCACAGGCCCAAAGGCCGAAGAGAGGGTAGCTTAGGCTTTCGGGGTTTGGGGTTGGGGGTCTGGGCTTAATTTTTGTTCGCCCCAAACCCTATACCCTAAACCCTTAACCCTAAACCCTAAACCCGAAACCCTAAACCCTAAACCTTCTGAATCCCCTATCTCCCAATCACAACGCTGGGCCGCTTCATGTCCCCCAACCGGGGACTGGTCGCCGAAGCACTTGGAGGTTCAGGGGTACTTATGAACCCAATAACAACTGCACGGGTTCAGGGAATAATAACTGTACTTACAACCCAATTGTAGCCATATGAGGGCACTTAAGGGGCTCATAAGTGGAGTAATAATTGGGCCCCCCCCCCCCATCCCCCAGAAGCCCCAGGACCCAAAAGACCAAAACTCCAAAAACCCCTAAAACAAAAAGACAAACCCTGCGCCGTCCTCCTCCAACGTGAAGAAGCCGTCCCCGACGGGAGCACGGATCCAGTCCCATGTGGGCGCAAGAGCTAAGTGAGTCGCCTCAGTGATGAGGCTAGAAGTCTGGGTCCCTACACAATGCGGGCCCTTTGTCGTTTAGAAGGAGACCCTTAAAGATACTCACGTGTACACAAAGCTAGAAACAAGATAGAGTGCCCAAATTACGAACTACCACTTTAAATCCTAGATCGGTGGTCTCACACAAGGGCTTGGGGCTTAAGGGCCTCCAGGCCTCAGCGGCTGGAGGGTTTACAAAGGGTGTAAGGATTAGGGTTTAGGGTTGCGGGCTGCCTAACCCTAAGCCCTAACCCCTAAACCCTAAACCCCAAAACAGTGCAAACTTACAGAATCCGAAAGGCCGATTGGATGTCGATGGAGAGGCCGCTGGTCTTGCGCATGCTCAGCTCGCGCGCCGTGCGCTCCAGGCGGCACCACCCCCTGCTTTCCCAGGTTCTTTTGTTCAGCACCACCTGCTTCGCAAATGCAGGTACTTCAAACCACAGGGCGGGTTTAGGGGCTTAAGGTTCAGGTTTCAGGTTGAGGGTGTAGGATTTAGGGTTTAGGGTTTAGGGTTGAGGGTTGAGGGTTGAGGGTTGAGGGTTGAGGGTTGAGGGTTGAGGGTTGCGGGTTGAGGGTTGAGGGTTGAGGGTTGAGGGTTGAGGGTTGAGGGTTGAGGGTTGAGCATCCACTTTGTGGCCGTCTCCTCGGCCCTGCCTCGTGCTGCGTGTGGCGCACGTGCGGGCACAGGACCACGAAGTACTGGCACCTGCAGACTTGCAGGGGTTAAGGGGTTTAGGGGGGTGTTGGGGCGGTTTGTTTGGGGGGTTTGGGGGGGTTTAGGGGGGTTTAGGGGGGTTTAAGGGGCTTTAGGGGTTTTGGGGGGTTTTGGGGAGTTAGCGGGGTTTGGGGTTGTGTAGGGGGTTTAGGGTTTACGGCGGCTTAGGGGGGTTTTAGGGGTCTAGGGGGCTTAGGGTGTAGGGTTTAGGTCTTGAGGCTTCGGGCTTCGGGCTCAAGGTTTCGGGTTCAGGTATGCTACCCCCCTAAACTCACACACCACCTAGGCCGAAACCCCAAACCCTAAACCCTAAACCCTAAACCCTAGACCCTAAACCCTAAACCCTAAACCCTAAACCTCTTGAGACCTAAAAACGCGCGCACGCGCCTCTCCACGAACGCGGGGATGCTGGAGATGGCGAGGTCGCGCAGAAAGCGGCTTCGCTGGGGGCAGCAGAAGTAGTCGTACCAGATGAAGAGGGGCTTCGAGGACAGCTCTTCAGCTGGAAGGGTGCTCCTGAAGCTTCTCTCAAAGTGCGAAGAGCTCGGAACTTGCTTTGAGAAGGTCTTACAGCTTCGGCGTCTTCGTGGTCTGAGACCAGCGCAGGGTGTTTTCATTTCGGGCTTAGGGGGCCCCCGAAGCTTCCTCCCTAAACCCTGAACCCTGACCCCCAAACCCTAAACCCTAAACCCTAAACCCTAAACCCTGAACCCAAACCCCTAAACCCTAAACCCTAAACCCTAGACCCTAAACCCCAAACTCTAAACCCTAAACCCTAAACCCTAAACCCTAAGCCCCACATCTCTTGCTCAGGTGCTGCTGCCCGAGAAAGAGCTCGCTGCTGATGTTCCCCTCGATGCGAACGGCGCCTGAGAGCGCATTTCTCAAGCCATCCTGCAAAACCTGAGGGCACAGTAGGGGAAATAGGGTTTAGGGTTTAGGGGCTTAAGGTTCAGGTTTGGGGTTGAGGGTTGAGGGTTGAGGGTTGAGGGTTTAGGGTTTAGGGTTTAGGGTTGAGGGTTGAGGGGATGATAAGGGAACCTGCACCCTAAAAAGGGAAAATGAGGGTCAGGGCGGGAGAAGCGTTTAGGGTTTCCAGGGTTTCCAGGGTTTCAACGGGCCCGACCTTGAATTGCTCAAGCTTGGGATCTGGATGATCAATGCCAGCCCACTGGTGTGACACAAACATGGCGTTGCCGTCGCTTTCGTCAAATTCCACCTTACGCGGACGCAGGCCCTACAAAACCGTTGAGTTCTACGAGGTGGCGTATTAGGACTTAGGGTTCTGGGGTTGCGCCCCTAAACCCTCAACCCAAAACCCTGAACCCTAAACCCTACACCCTCAACCCCAAACCCCATAGAGGCCCAGGCACCAGCGCGCCCTCTGCGAGCAAGTCCTCGTGAGGCTTGATCTCGGTCATCGCAAGCAAGGTGTCGAAGGGAACCACAAACATCTCGATCAGCGCCTCCGTGCTCGTGAGCCTCACCAAGCCTCTGCCAGAGCGGAGGCGCTCGGCATAGCTGCTGAGGGGTACGGCTGCCTCTTCATCCGCACCTTGGCAGCCCAGCAACCATATTCTCATAAGGGCACCTTTTTTTTGGGGGTTGGTTGCTTTAGAAGGGAACCTTGAACCCAAAAAAAGAAGGGACAAGGGCACCACTGGGCTTACCAAGGCACAGCAAAATAGCTGTGGCATTGTTCGGCTGGGGCCTGAAAGCCATCAAATTCTCCGGGGTCGCCGCACAGATGCGGAAGGAAGCATTTGACACCCTAAAGTGCAGAGCACGGACCTGCCCGAAAAAAGTAGGCTCCCCCATTTTCTGCAGCTGAAATTGCCAAATAACCCCCCCCCCCCGGCCCCATTAAGAACAGAACCCACATTCCAGAAACCCTAAACCCTAAACCCTAAACCCATAACCCTAAACCCATAACCCACGGATGCCCGAAACCGCTGGAGGCCCGGGAAATCCGAAAGCTTGGAGAGTCAGAGCTGAGGGACTCAAACTCGCAGGCCTAAACCCAACACTCCACGGTCGGACGGAAGCTTCACCCCAACTATCCCCAAAATCTCAGCCCCGAAAATCCCCCGACCCCCGGAAACCCTAAACCCTAAACCCTAAACCCTAAACCCTACACCCGGCACGTCTTTTGTCAGCCGCAAAACCGCGCGCCCAAGGGTGGCACGCGATCTCTCGAATCTCTCCTCTCGCCAAGCGATGTGAAGGCAAAGCCCTGAAAATGTCGACTCACGGCTCAGCAGGGAGCATGACCTTGGGGGCTTAAGAGAGTTTAGGGGTCTGGGGCTTATGGGGGTTTAGGGTTTTGGCTTCAGGGTTCACTTCTGCCCCCCCCTCCCCCCAACCCGAACTCGAGAAGAAGTCCCGTGAATCACAAGGATCCCGACGTTAGGCGCACAAGATCTGTAGCAAGAGTACATCCATCGTATGGCCGTTTGAGGTCACAACCTACAAATGGGGGTGTGTAGGTTTAAGGTATCTGGGGGGCTCGAGGCAAAGGCGGCCCAGGAGGCGTAAGGGTCCTGGAGGTTCGATTGCACGATTCTTGTTGGCACTTTCGGCGCGCTCTCCAGATGCCGGGCACACTTGCGTGTTTGCTAGTATTTCCCGTCTGTGGCCCAGAGGCGATGTAACAGAGACGTTTGAAATTTCGGAGCGTCATAACCTCCAGCCAAGACCTCTGGAGAACACCTTTGCGTACTTCACCAAAGTCCTGGCTATATGACTTGCCTGTTAAAAAGAAGCTGAAGAACCTGAAGCCGCAACTCGAACCCTAAACCCTAAAGCCTACAGTCTAAACCACCCCGGATCCAGGCAAGGCCACGTACGGCGTGGGTGCGGCCGCTGGCGTGGAGGCGTCCTTTGCCTCTTCCTGCACTCGGCAGAAGTCTAGGGTTCAGGGTTGAGGGCTGATAGGGTTGAGGGTCGAGGGTTTAGGGTTGAGGGCTGATAGGGTTTAGGGTTTAGGGTTTAGGGTTCAGCATCTCAAGTTCGAGCATTTACTAGGCCAGTAGTGTGTTCAGGCAACGGAAAAAAACCCACCCGCCCAAAGAATCCCATAACATTAAGAAAATATAAGGTTTTCATCCTACCCCAAAGAGTTTTACCTACCCAAGTCAGACACGTTTTCAACTGACCAACACCCGTTGCGGGAGGAAGGGGGCTGGAGGGGCAGGGGGGGAAGGAAGGGGGCCCGCCCTTGCCCGCTAATTCTCGGGCCTTTCCCGGGTCCGAAAATTAGCGGGCAAGGTCCGACAATTAGCGGGCAAGGTCCGAAAATTAGTGGAGGTGGTGGGTCAGCGGGCAAGGTCCGAAAATTAGTGGGCAAGGTCGTGGGGCAGCCAATGGACCTTGCCCACTGATTTTCGGACCTTGCCCGCTAATTTTCGGACCTTGCCCGCTAATTTTCGGACCTTGCCCGCTAATTTTCGGACCTTGCCCACTAATTTTCGGACCTTGCCCGCAAAGCCATCCATTAACATTTATATTATATATGAAAGAGCGGTTTAGGGTTTAGGGTTTAGGGTTTAGGGTTTAGGGTTTAGGGTTTGGGGTTTGGGGTTTGGGGTTTGGGGTTTGGGGTTTGGGGTTTGGGGTTTGGGGTTTGGGGTTTGGGGTTTGGGGTTTGGGGTTTGGGTTTAGGCCTGTAGGGTGCAGATTCTAGGACTGAGAGGCTAAACCCCAGACCCTCTGGGTTCAGGCTCCCAGAAGGGAACGTGACGCAAAACCCTAGTTGAGGGTTTACGAAAGTAGTAAGGGACCCCTAAACCCTAAACCCCTAATATAAGCACCCAAACAGTAGGATTCCCTGATAACAAGGGCCACAACAAGGTACCCCCGAATTTCGGAAATCGTCCGTTCAGGAGCTTGCCATAAGCAAACTAAGTCTCCCGAAGGGGCTTGTTCCAAGCCATGGCCCCTTCTTTGTGAATAGCCTCTCATGCTATCACTGAGTACTCAAAGATCCGAATTTTGCAAATGCTTATCTGACCTTTCTGATTGAGCACCCTGGAGTAGAAGCACCCGAAAACCCTAAAGTAGACAGCCTTTATGTTTGATCTTCGGCCTCTTTCTCAACTCGGGGGTTTCGGGCCCTCTGGTTCTCCTGCTCTTGAGCCCTTTTGACGTAGTAAGCAGGGTGAGGAAGTTGGGTTGTGGGCATCTTGAAAGGGTTTCTAGGGGAGACGAAGTAGACTTAATATACTCTGAGTCAAAAGAGCTAAACCCCAAACCCTAAACCCTAAACCCAGGTCTTCATGGAGCTTTGGCTTGGGAATGGCGAGGTGTCGCACGACCCTGTGATGGGGCTTAGGATCGAGGGTTTTTTGGGACTAGTTTAGGCTAGGGTTTAGGGCTTGGGGTGTTTGGAAGGGAAGCTCGCTGGTGCTAAAAGCACCCGGGCCGCTCGCTTGCGTTAGCATGTAGTCCCAGCCCAACCACCCAAACTATTCTCATTTAGGGTTTAGGGTTCACCCCCCAAACCTCTCTAAAGAGCCTGTCAGTGGCTCGTAGGCTTCTTGGAGCTTTCACGGAGTAAAATGGAGGGGTGCCGAAAACCGTCGATTGCAATACTAAAAAACCAACATTTTCATTACGGCCTGGGCAAATCCTGGATCGCGGGGCTTCATGCAGCCTTAGGGCAGCAAAGCGGCAGGGGGAAGCAGGGGCCTCGGTACTCCTTTCAACCACGAAAACAGTTTGCAAAGGCAAGGTCCCAGAAGAGGGCTCCAGGAAAGACAGGTTTGGAGGTCCTCGCCAGGCGGCAGGGGCTTCGGTAGGGTCTGCAGAAATTTGAACAGATATCCACAACCAGAAGGCGGGCCCAGCGGGTTGCAGGAAGGTGCCAGGGGGCGTCATGACGCCCAGACCCCCGCGGGGGTACCCCCCCGACCCCCCCAAAAAGACCAAAACACCTCCACGGTGCCGGCTTTGTGGTCCTAATGATATTAGGGCTTACGCCCTAGGTCTGAGGCGTAGCCAGGCACTGCAGGCCCAGTCTACCGGGAGGCTTTACCCTCCCTCACCGTTCTGTGGAGACGCTCGGTCCCGGACCTCCGTCGAAGCCTCGAGCGCCCATGTAAATGGACAGCGGCGCTCTCGGCAGTTTAGGGTTTAGGGCTTAGGGCTTAGGGTTTAGGGTTTAGGGTTTAGGGTTTAGGGTTTAGGGTTTAGGGTTTAGGGTTTAGGGTTCAGCAGCCCCCCCCCCGCCTCCTGAGTCTCCTCCACCTCCCTGGCGAAAGCCTTTCCACCGCGGGCGTAGACTGCGTAGACGCCGCCGAAGGCGGCCGTTGCGAAGCCCAAGTAGAACCAGAACCTCAGGAGAGGTTTAGGGTTTAGGGTTTGGGGTTTGGGGTTTAGGGTGAGGGTTTGGGGTTTAGGGTGTGAGGTTTGGGGTTTGGGGTTTAAGGGTGCATACGGGTACTTCGCCTCTGCGCATGGGCTCAGAGGTTTGCATGGGAACCCCCCCCTTTCCCCCTAAACCCTAAACCCTAAACCCTAAACCCTAAACCCTAAACCCTCAACCCTAAACCCTAAACCCTAAACCCTAAACCCTAAACCCTAAACCCTAAACCCTAACCCTAAACCCGAATCCCCCTCCTCGCCGACCCCATCCCGCATGAGTCCCCCCCCCCCTCCCCTCAGGTGGGTGGATGGAGTGGGTTTGGGCCTAGCTGGCTCTGACCCCTCGGCCACTGCAGTAGCTGGCAGGCACAAAAAACACCAGCAGAAATCACGAACCCTCGTATGCGATCCAGTCGCATGTTGAACGAGTGGTACGTCAGGCCATCCTAGCGCACTGAGACCACACAGGGGCAGGACCCTCTGGCTTCCCAACCCAAGACCCTAATTCGACAAGAGCCCTGCATTTCGCACCCCAAAACCTAAGGCTCTAGGGGCTACAAGATGTCGCAGTTCAGGTTTTCGGGTTACAAGCTTCGGATTCAGGAAGGGCCCCGGAATTCACCTGCAACCCCGACAACCCTATGACCACATATTCTCTACAAAACCCGATCACCCTACAACTCTGCAAGCCCCTGTACCCCATAACTCTCTACCCTATAACCCCTGTAACCCTACTGCCCCATAACCGAAAACCAAAACTTCTGCCCCCAAGTAGGCTGGAGGTTTAGGGTTTAGGGTCTAGGGTTCAGGGTTCAGGGCTTCGGGCTTAGGGTCCTGGAATTCGGTGTCAGGTCCGTTCCAGCCGAAGAGGAAGCCCACCAGCCAAAACGCGGCGGCGCAAATCACGAAGAAGGCCCCCAAAGACACCTCAGTCCACGGGTTCCAGGTCCCTCCCCTGAAGCAGTTTAGGGTCTTGAGTCTTGGGTTTTGGGTTTTGGGTTTTGAGTCTTGGGCTTTGGGTTTCGGGTCTTGGGTTTTGGGTTTTGGGTTTTGGGTTTTCGGTTTTCGGGTTTGGGTTTTGGGTTCTGGGTTTTGGGTTTTGGGTTTTGGTGGGGGGCCGTCCGGGGGTAATGTTACCATGGGGTCCTCCACTACTCCCACCGCAACTAACCCCAAATCCCAAAAGACGGCCAGAAAGCCCTCCAGTAAGCCTGGTTTGGGCCTTACGTACCTAGGATCAACCCTAAACCCTAAACCCTAAACCCTAAAGCCTGGTTTTTGGGCCTTACGTCAATAGGATCCGTACAGGCTCTATAAACTCTGAACCTTGGGATGTTCCCCCTCAGACAAACAGTCCTGAGTAGGGATTATACTAGGGGGTACCATAATCCCGATTAAGGACTGCTAGTATAAGGGTGAACATCCCACAACCTGAACCCTAAACCCTAAACCCTAAACCCTAAACCCTAAACCCCTCTCGTCAAGGGCGCCATCGTCTCACCACACTTGCAGCCGCACTCCTCGGCCAGGCCTTGGCCAGCACAGGGTGGGGGGAACCTACAGGGCTTAAGAGGGTTTAGGGTTTAGGGTTTAGGGTTTAGGGTTTAATGTTCAGGGTTCAGGGTTAGGGTTGGGATGTTACCCCTTGTACTAGTAGTCCTTAATGGGGAGTATCCTTATTAAGGACTGTTACTATATGGGGGAACATCCCAAGTTACAAGGTTTATTTTCTTGTTTGCTTGCTTTTTGTTCCTTTTGGTTTAGGGTTTAGGGTTGAGGGTTTAGGTGTTTTTGTTTGTTGTTGTTGGTTTTTGTTCTTTTTTTTGGGGGGGGGGGCGGGGGTTTTCAGGGTGGTGTTGGAGTCTAGGGGGGTTGAGGGCTTCGGGGGGGGTTTACGGAGTTTAGGGAGTTTTGGGTTTGTCAAACGCAAACACTCAGCCCTGCTAGCCGGATGTAAACCTTGGAACCTACACCTGACAATTTCCCAAGAAAAAACACAACCACCTTGAATCTCAAAACGACAGGAGCCCAAACCCTGAAAACCCTAAACTTGGCTTGGGGATGATTCGTAAGCTTCCTCGGACCATCTCTCCTCAACTTACCCAAAACCCTAAACCCTAAACCCTAAACCCTAAACCGAAAACGCAGCTCAGTTGCAATCCTCTGGGCAGCAGCAGTCTCCGCATGTGAGGGGCATCGCTGCAAGGTGTCACTGCGGCGTTCGAGGCGAGAGCGAGGGCGCTACTTTGACAGTCCTCAAGCTGAGCCGATGTCCTTCCCATAACGGGCACGTGACGTGTGGCTTGGGACTCTTGGGTTGATTGTCTCGGTCATCGTAGGTTCCTGAAGGGTTTGGCTTGCCAAAACGTGTCTAGGGGTTCAGGGTATGGTGATCTAGGCGTTGGGCTTTTTGGGTATGCTAGGCAGGATCCCAAAAGAAAAAGCACCCCAGAGCCCCTAAACCCTAAAACCCTAGGACCTTGCAAAGCCCTAAGCCATAAACCCTAAGGGCCCTGCAGACCTCAACCCCACTAAACCTTCAAGCGTAATTCAGGGGCCTTAATGATAGAATAGGGTTTCGGGGGGGAAATTACAGTATCACAATAAAGGGACCATAGGGGAATACTACCCTAAACCCTAAACCCTAAACCCTAAACCCTAAACCCTAAACCATCCCTAAGCCCTAAACCCTAAACCCTAAAGGCAGTTATTCCGACCCCATAGTACAACCACAAACCCTGTGCGCACCCTCGCAGCTCTGTCTCCAAGGCTGCCAGGCGAAGCCATGAGACCCATCAGCAAGGGTTTAGGGTTTAGGGTTTAGGGTTTAGGGTTTAGGGTTTAGGGTTTAGGGTTTAGGGTTTAGGGTTTGGGGTTTAAGTTTAAGGTTTAGGGTTTAGGATTTAGGGTTTAGGGTTTGGGGTTTAGGGTTAAGGGTTTGGGGTTTAGGGCTCTTATCATCCACGTATAAGCCTCGTACCCAGGTATGATGAAAGCTAGCTGAAAAAGCAAGTGTGATTGGGTTAAGAAGTGCCGTGGACTGTGGACCTACAACTGGGCTTCAGGAATTGCGGTGTTCCAGGGCCTAGCGTGCCAGGTTTACGAAGTTAGAGGATATATATGTTGGGGGGTTACAGGCTTCGGGGACTTCAGGTTTGGCTTTGGGGCCTTTGGGATATTGCCTGGAGATAGGGCTTGACGGCGGCGAGGTCCAAGCAAGCCTGGCCCTAACAACTGCACACCCTGATTAAGGTATACAAGGAGGGACGTCTAGAAGGCTCTTTATCTACTAGTCTATGATACCGGCGCTCGGCTCGCCAGGCCCCCCCCCCCTCCTATGGAATCCCCCCCTCCCTCCTCTAAGCCCTAAACCGCCTTCCCCTAAACCGTAAACCTTCACCTTGGCTCCTAAACCCTAAACTGCAGCCAGCCGCGGGCGCTGCGATAGCCAGCAGCGAGCGATACCGCGTGGCGACAGGCCCACGGACGAGCCCGAGCCGTCAGACAAAGCCTGGCGAGGGCTCGGGGCCGGGGCCGTTGTGCTCACCGTAGTCGTGCCACGCCTAGAAGGATTTAATCCGCGTGCTAGGGTCGGTCTGGCTCCAAAAGAGAATTACCCCAAGCTATGCTCCTTTGGATTTTGGGTTTTGGGTTTTGGGTTTTGGGTTTTGGGTTCTTGGCCTCTACAAGTAGGGTTTAGGATTGCGGGTTCAGGGGGCCTTTAGGATTCAAGCTTTGGGACTCAGGGCCTGTAGGGTTTAGGGTCGAGAGTTCTGGGCGTGTAGGGTTTAGGATTTAGGATTCACTAAGGATTTAAGGCATCGTTTTAGGGTCACTAAGGATTTAGGGTTCAGCGGCCAAGGATCCCTATATACATTAAGGTAATGTCCTGAACTAAGGGGTATATTGGGCTCGCTGGGCACCACCCCTGCGCCCTAAACCCGCCTAAACCCCACTTCCAACACCCAGACTCTTGAACACCAAACCTACACCCCTAAACCTCAACCACTAAACAAACAAACCCCACAACCCCGTCAAAGCTTGACGAGCTTTTGGGGCGTGCAAAGGCGGCGTCATGCGGCGCGGCGCGACTTCGCCCTCCAGACGGCAAGGCGCTTGCGGCGTAGGGACCAGCGGTCGTACAGCAAGTACAGCCTCAGCGGGGGGCTTAGGGTTTTGGGGGTTTCGGGTTGATTTGGGAAAATTTGGGAATGCCTGGGGTCCCTGAGGGCTTCGGGGTTTACGGCTTCCGGAGTCTCGTGTTCGGGCCTCAGCCACCCTAACGCCCTCAACCTTCCTAAGCTAAACCCTGCAAATCCCAGGGCCTAAACCCTCATCCCCAAACCATAACCCCAAAACCCGAAACCTTGAAACCCTGAACCCTGACCCTAAACCCTAAACCCGAAACCCTAAACCCTAAACCCGAACCCGCAGAGCATCCACGGAGCACCGGGTCCGGCCCCAGCGAACGAAGGGGAACCTCATCTGGCCTGAAGTCTGCATGTACCCATATAGGGGTTTCGGGTTTAGGTTTAGGGTTTAGGGTTTGCTGTCACAGGGCGTAGATGCTGTGAGGTTTGGATACGGAATCAGTTTGAAAGCTTCGTGAGGCTCGAGAAAAGCAGCTTTGGCCCGACTGTGGAAGGCCATCTAACACTTCTTTTCTCCCACCCCACGCCGTCCGAGGCGGCAAAGCCACCCAATCCCATTTCTTGTAGGGTCTAGGCCTAAACTCAGTCAACAGTCCACTTCCAGAAGCTTCTTCTGTTTCAGGGCAGTTCGTGTCAGGGGCAAGAATAGAGGGTCCCAAGCAGGTTCCGGGCGAGGGTCTCTAGAAGGCGCAGGGAGAGAGTCTCAGCAGGGTTGCAGGGAGGGCTGAGGCTCTTGAGAGTACCCCTTTCCCTCCAAGGCCGGGCCGCACGGAGGTTGGTGTGGGCTCATGGTGGGTGCTACCGACCTCCGAGCGTCGGCCTGCGCTTAAGCGCCGTCCCCACTTTAGAGGGAGCGGCCTAAGCCTTGAGTTTAGGGTTTAGGGTTTAGGGTTTAGGGTTTAGGGTTTAGGGTTTAGGGTTTAGGGTTTAGGGTTTAGGGTTTAGGGTTTAGGGTAGGTTTAGGCCGGGCCCTGGAGCTTAGGGCTCCAGGAACTCAGACCTAAACCCGACCGCCCTGTTCTGCGCATCCGGGCTGATGTCCTCATGCCTGTTCGCGGCATCATTGCAAGCTGGAGTAGATGATGCGCTGGGGGGTCAAGTGCTTGAGATGTTTAGGGTTTAGGGTTTAGGGTTTAGGGTTTAGGGTTTAGGGTTTAGGGTTTAGGGTTTAGGGTTTAGGGTTTAGGGTTTAGGGTTTAGCGTTTTTAAGCTTTGTGCCTTCAAGGCTGTGACGTATGAAACCCTGTACAGATTCCTGGGAACCCGGCTTTGGCTTGACCAAAAAACGGATGGGAAAATACGACTGAGCTGTAAGCAGACTCTTACCATAAGCCCTAAACCCTAAACACTGAATAGACCCGAACCCCCCCTGCAGCTGGGTCGCAGGAGCCTACCCTGCCAGAGCAGCTCCAGTGAGTTGAACGGCACATCTTGCCTGACCTGGGGTTTAGGGTTTAGGGTTTAGTCTCGGGTATAGGGTTGAGGGTTTCGGGTTTAGGGTTTCGGGTCTAGGCACCACAAACAGTCTCGAACACAGATCGTAAAAGCAAGTCTCTGAGAAGGCGCTTCTCTAAGGGCTTCAAGTTCTTAAGGGGGTTCAGGGTTTAGGGTTTAGGGTTTAGGGTTTCGGGTTTCGGGTTTAGGGTTTAGGGTTTAGGGTTTAGGGTTTAGGGCTTCGGGCTTGGGGTTTAGGGTTGAGGGTTTAGGGCTCTTGGACTCGAGGAGCTTCGGGGAGCTCCAAACCTCCGAGTCCAGCCGAGGCGCATAGTCGAGGCTGCGCAGCATCCATTTCAGATCCTGCGCTGGATTGGGGGTGGGTTTAGGGTTTAGGGTTTAGGGTTTGGGGTTTAGGGTTTGGGGTTTAGGGTTTAGGGTTTAGGGTTTAGGGTTTAAGGTAAGCCCTAAGCCCTAAACCCTAAAAACCCTGCTGAACCCCAAAGTCCCCTACAGCCAGCAACCCCACACCCGAAGCCCCCTTCCGAGCTCCGTCACGCGCGCGTGTGGGACCTCCACAAGTGGCGGCCTCCAGCTTGGCTTCGCAATCCGCAGAGGTTTCGGGGCTTCGGGTGTAGGATTTAGGGTTTAGGGTTTAGGGTTTAGGGTTTAGGGTTAGAAGGTTTAGGGTTGGGGCTAGAAGGTTTAGGGCGTACAGGGAACCTCACCCCACATCCCACATCCTAAACCCAAGCCCCAGCATCCCAAACTGCCCAGCATCCCAAGCTGCCGCCTTCCACTCTAAACCGTCCGGTTCCCCGAAACCCTCAACCTTACAAACCCTAAACCCCCAAAACATGCCTGTAAGCCCCAACCCTTTACGCCCTTCCAATCCTGCAAACCCTACAAACCCCGTAAACCCTAGCCCGAAACCCTAAACCCTATGCCCCAAACCCCACTAGTAAGCCCTAAACCCTAAACCCTAAACCCGAAAAAAATTGAATTGCGTGCGCGTCGACTCACGGGCGGGCGGTTCAACCGCCGCGACAGCTGGCGAGCCTGGCTCGACTGTGAGGGGGTTGAGGGTTTCGGGTTCAGGGTTCAGGATTCAGGGTTTAGGGTTTCGGGTGTAGGGTTTAGGGTTGAGGGTTCAAGGCTTAGGGCTTAGGGCTTAGGGCTTAGGGCTTAGGCCTTAGGGCTTAGGGCTTAGGGCCTTACGGCTTACGGCCTTAGGGCTTAGGGTGGCTTCTTGGCTTCGACCCCAAGGCCTGGGAAGGATTTAGGGGCTCAAGTCCCTTCTTGCGTGTCAATAAAAAAGCCCCCCCTTTTTTTTCACTTGGTAAATTCTTCCTTTAGGACTTCGAAGGTGCCCTTACAAGGACTTGAGCGCACCAAAGATTCTTCATGAAGAGTGAGAGCTTCGTTCCCCTAACTTTGTATCGTTCGGCGAACAATATACAACTAACGGAGAAGAGGTTATCTGCGTCTTTGTTTTTTGGGTTATCTGCGTCTTTTTTTTCGGGTTATCTGCGTCTTTTTTTTCTGGGTTGTCTGCGTCTTTTTTTCCTCGGTTTCGTGGGACCTGCCACGATTTTGGGCGGTTCACTGGGTTATCTGCGTCTTTTTGGGGGGGTTATCTGTGTCTTTTTCAGGTTGTGGCATCATTCAGGGTTTTGGTAATCAACATTTCTTTTTGGGGTTGAGGCTTGGTCAACTCCAACATTTCCAGTTGGGGTTTTGGGTTTGGCAACCAACATCTCCTTTGAGGTTGAGGGTTTGCCAACCAACACCTCTTTTGGGGTTTAGTGCTTGGCAACCAACAACACCTTTTAGGGTTTAGGGCCTTTTAGGGTTTAGGGTTTGGCAACCAACATCTCCTTTTGGGGTTGAGGGCCTTTTAGGGTTTAGGGTTTGGCAACCAACATCTCCTTTTAGGGTTTAGGGCTTGGCAACCAACATCTCCTTTTGGGGTTTAGGGCCTCTTAGGGTTTAGGGTTTGGAAACCAACATCTCCTTTTAGGATTTAAGGTTTGGCAACCAACATCTCCTTTTAGGGTTTAGGGTTTGGCAACCAACATCTCCTTTAGGGTTTAGGGATTGGCAACCAACATCTCCTTTTAGGGTTTAGGGTTTGGCAACCAACATCTCCTTTTAGGGTTTAGGGCTTGGCAACCAACATCTCCTTTCAGGACTTAAGGTTTGGCAACCAACATCTCCTTTTAGGGTTTAGGGTTTGGCAACCAACATCTCCTTTCAGGGTTTAGGGTTTGGCAACCAACATCTCCTTTTAGGGTTTAGGGTTTGGCAACCAACATCTCCTTTTAGGGTTTAGGGCTTGGCAACCAACATCTCCTTTTAGGGTTTAGGGTTTGGCAACCAACATCTCATTTTAGGGTTTAGGGCTTGGCAACCAACATCTCCTTTTGGGGTTTAGGGTTTTCCCACCAACATTTCCTTTTAGGTTTAGGGTTTGGCAATCAACATCTCCTTTTAAGGTTTAGGGCCTTTTAGGGCTTAGGGCTTGGCAACCAACATCTCCTTCCAAGGTTTAGGGCTTGGCAACCAACATCTCCTTTTAGGGTTTAGGCATCTCCCCTCCTTTTAGGGCTTAGGGCCTTTTCGGGTTTAGGGTTTGGCAACCAGCATCTCCTGAGGGGGTTTAGGGGTTTCCCACCAACATTTCCTTTTAGGGTTTAGGGCTTGGCAACCAACTCCTTTTAGGGCTTAGGGCCTTTTAGGGCTTAGGGCTTGGCAACCAACATCTCTTTTTAGGGTTTAGGGTTTGGCAACCAACATCTCCTTTTCGGGTTTAGGGTTTGGCAACCAACATCTCCTTAGGGTTTAGGGTTTGGCAACCAACATCTCCTTTTAGGGTTTAGGGTTTGGCAGCCAATATCTCCTTTTGGGGTTTAGGGTTTGACAACCAACATCTCCTTTTCGGGTTTAGGGTTTGGCAACCAACATATCCTTTGAGGGTTTAGGGTTTTCCCACCAACATTTCCTGTTAGGTTTAGGGTTTGGCGACCAACATCTCTTTTTAGGGTTGAGGGCCTTTTAGGGCTTAGGGCTTGGCAACCAACATCTCATTTTAGGGTTTAGGGTTTGGCAACCAACATCTCCTTTTAGGGCTTAGGGTTTGGCAACCAACATCTTCTTTTATAGGGTGAAGGATTTGGCAACCAACATCTCCTTTTCGGGTTTAGGGCCTTTTAGGGCTTAGGGCTTGGCAACCAACATCTCCTTTAAGTGTTTATGTTTTTGGCAACCAACATCTCCTTTTAGGGTTTAGGGTTTGGCAACCACCAACATCTCCTTTTAAGGTTTAGGGTTTGGCAACCAACATTTGCTTTTAAGGTTTAGGGTTTGGCAACCAACATCTCCTTTTGGGTTTCGGGATTTCCCAATCCTACATGTCCGCTTAGGGTTTAGGGTTCTCCGAAACCAACATCTCCTTTTAGGGTTGAAGCTTGGTCTAACCCAACATCTCCTTACGTATAATGATTCAGAAGATACCCAAAGTAAGGAGAAAAAGGGACACAGATAACGCAGAAAAAAAAGACACAGATAACGCAGAAAAAAAAAAACACAGATAACGTGGAAAACGGACAGAAAAGACGCCATTCCTTGAAACTTGACGCAAAAACAGCCAAAAAAAGACACAGATAACGCAGAAAAAAAAGACACACATAACGCGAAAAAAAGACACAGACCACCCCCTTTCCCAACTAACCTCATGAGATTAAGCTGCCTTCGAGCCACCTTTGCATGTGGCTTCCTTTTGGCGCGCGAAGTAGCCGCATTGAAGAAACCTACAAGTATGCTTCCTTTAGTCGGGCAGGTCTTTACTAGCGTACTATGGCGGGCGAAGAAACTTATACCACCCTTTCTCTCTCGTTTAAGGGTGCTTGTCAACTTTATCGCGCGACCAGTCCGCTCCTTGATAAGAGACAAATAGGACCCCGGAATCGATCACACCTGTCAGTTTTGCCCAGGACTCCGCCCTTCAGACCCTACTTAAGTATGTATTGACCCAAGAATACTATCAATACCCTAACCCTAAAACCCCCCTAAACCCTAAACACTAAACCCTTAACCCTAAACCCTAAACCCTAAACCCTAAACCCGAAACTTTAGGCCCTAAACCCTAAACCCTAAACCCTATACTAAACCCAATTATAACCATATCAGGGCACTTAAGGGGCTTATGAAGTCGGTTTATAAGTACAGTCATAATTGGTCAATAAGTACCCTGAACCTCCAAGTAACTCTCGTTCACCCAGACTCCGACATCGAAGTCAAGGATACCAAGGGCCCAAGAACCTTACCATCAGGAGTCTTCAAACGATGCGCGCTTTCGTCCTTGCACTAGCATAACATAATTGTGGGAAGCCAAGGGAACTTCATTCCCATTCATTCTATCTGTCGGTGCATTTATGAATTTGAGCTGCTTGATTCGTTACAAGCGAAGTGCGTAAACGAAGCGACGCAGAAAATATAAAACATGAAAATTTGAGAAACTGACGAAACAAGATTCCCAAGAAAAGGCTGGTGTCTCTGTTTTAGCCGCAAAGTTGAAGTGGACAGTGCCACCATGGACGTGGGCTGCAGACGCCCTTGCAGGACACTTGGGTTAAGCAGGCGACGTCCGCTGTTTTGATGTCGAGGTGAAGAGCTTCTTGTCTAGGAGAGAAAAAATGTCAAGATTAGAAGCCTCAAAGGCCCCTCAGAGTTGCAAGCAGGCGGTCTTGGGGTGGGTGCAGGCTACTGTGAAGCGCGCTTCCAGTTGGCACGCCCTAAACCCTAAACCCAAAACCCCTGCAACCCTGAACCCTAAACCTTATACAAGGTCCCCGGCCTGGAGCTCGTTGCGCGAGGCGGCCCTGGCGAGCGCAAGGTTTTCAGGGAGCTTCGGGGTTAGGGATTTGGGTTTAGGGATTTGGGTTTAGGGTTTAGGGTTTAGGGTTTAGGGTTTAGGGTTTAGGGTTTAGGGTTTAGGATTTAGGGCCGGTTTGGGGTTTTGGGGTTTGGGGGTTGGGGTTTGGGGGTTCAGGGTGTGTTTCCCATAATAGGTTTACCCTTAAACCCCTTATGCTAACAGTCCTTGAGAGGGACCATAATAGGGGGTACGAGAATCCCTATTAAGGACTGCTAATATAAGGGGGAACATCCAGGATGCTACGCCATTGTCGGCCCGAATTAGAATAGAATCCCCTTAAAGGGACCCCCAAAAAGGTACCCCTGTTTCCGGAAAGC